CAGGCGTTGGCGGAAGCGCTAGCGTTGTGTAACACAAAAACCTTCTGTCTAGACCACAGTGCTCTGAACAGTTTAACGAAGCTTCGAGGAAGATACATTTGCCTCAAGTTTTTTTGTAACCGAGGTGCTCGAATGATTCGAGGAATCGTTTCAGCCCTAGTCTGATGTGAAATCAGAGTTGTCAGATTTAATCGTTACTTTTTTTTTAGTTGAAAACTGTGTGTAAGTGGTGTTAAAGTCCTTTCTTTGAGAGCTAACTACGGCCGGCTTGCCGTAATCGTATTCAGACGTATGCGAATAACACTGTGTTCCATCGAAAGGTTTTTTTTTTGTCCAAAGTTCATAGGTCAGCTTTAGAGAGTGCATGTGAGCTAAATAAAAAGGGTTAAACCTGCTCTCTGATCTGTAAAAGAACGCTGTGTTGTTTGATTTTACTGTGAGACCCTCTGGTCAAAGCCACAGAGGAAACTGGTCGCCATTTTGTGTCAGCTTCATTAAAGCAGGAGGCGCCCACTAGAGGTTTGGAGGTGAAGTGTTTCAGTTGCTGCTCTGTTGCTCTTCATTTATTAAGACTGGAAACTGTTAAGAGTTAACAACATATTCTTTTGTTTAAAACATATGGCTAAAACTACATTTGATATATTTTGCTCTGTTTTGCACTACAAGCAAGAAGCCTAATACTTGATTTGTTTATTATTTTAAAATCTGTCTGGACCTAGTAGTGGAATTTTTAAAATTGAGATTATTTTGTGGTATAGCAGTTTTCAAAATAAATGAAGGCTAAAGGACACGCTATGCTTTTCTTTTCATTCCTAATGCAAGTTTTATACCAAAAACATAATGTGATATATATCGTTACTGCCACCCATCACAATACATATCGTGATATGAATTTTATGCCATATTGCACATCCCTTCTATTAATCCATTTTAATTTGAAAATTGAGACATTCGCTTCCATATACCATACCATTTTATTTATAGAGCACTTAAAACAGCAACAAGGCCAATCAAAGAGCTGTACAGACAGAACAACAGGTAACACACAAAGCAAAATACAAAATGAAGTAAATCAGAATATAGACATAAAAACGATGCAGATAATGACGTCAAACCAGTGTAGAGCATACAGGATCAAACACAGATCATCTGGTGTTGAAAGCTGCTGAATAGTAGTGAGTTTTTAAACGGGATTTGAAAACGAGAGGGAGGGGCCTGTCTGACAAGCAGAGGTAACTCATTCCAAAGTCTTGGACTACATATCTGCACGCTCTCCCCCTGCTTCCTGCTTCTCTCCAGGTGGAGTGGCTGCCTGCAGCATGTTCATTCAACCTTTATTTCTACAGGTAAAGCCCATTGAGCCTCGAGGACTCATTTACAAGAGAGACCTGATTTAACAAAGAATGATGACAACAATGGACAACAATAAACGGTTATAAAAAGTCATACTCAGTTATTTTTTTTTAAAACAAATAGGATAGCTAAAAAAAGGTAACAAAAAAACCTGCTAGATTCTAAGGCGACTGTAGAAAACTAAAACCAGGAACATGTCTGCATTGGTCCCTGCCAATGTAGCAGCCACAATTAGTCACAAAATGAAGAGAGAGCAAGTCGCAGAACTGGTGAGAAGGAAAAAAATGGCTCTGGTATTTGGAGATGGTTCAGATTGAATTTGTCAGATGTGCAACTGAAAAATGCCGAAAGTAAGTCCTGACAACAATGTTTGAGCACAACAAACCTTTTTCACCATTTAAAGCAGCGCTATAAGTCGAGTATGAAGCGTGTGTTAAACTTGGTGCTGCAGCTCCGGCTGTGAAGCTTCCTTCCCTGAGACAAACTACGGTACGAAACTCTTTGACCTGTGATGTGCCTCATGAGAGGTGACGTGAATAAAACAGCATCTTATCATATCGCTAAAGACGTATAAGATGCTGTTTTATTAATGTGGCGCTACCTCCTCTCACTGTAAAGCCTCCAGTATACTGCCGCGTACGTCCGTTCACGCGTACGTACACGTGTACTGTACGCAGAGGGTTGAGACTTCATACTCCAGCGTCCACCCCGAGCAGCTGCAGAGCAGCTTCACAGACGAGGGGCGTTTACCTTCGGGACAAATTGAGGTCACCGATTGGTCATTTGCTGACACGCCTACTGGATTGATTCAATTCAAATTCAAAAATACTTTATTAATCCCAGAGGGAAATTATTTGTTGTTGTAACTCGTTATCCTCATTTCATTAAGAGACGTCATAGATGCTGATGCTGTAGGCAGGAAGGATCTCTTGTAAAGATCCATCCCACAGTGGATCCTAAGAAACTGGCTGCAGATGCCGTCCGATCCGTCCACCCAGACTCGACTGACCTCTCAGTTCCCCCGGGCTGTAGGACCGCCTGCATGCTGGGCAGAACTCCTCCCAGAGCGATGGCCACTCCTCCCAGCAGTCTGCCGAGCTCCTCGTCGCTGTGGACAACCAACTGTAGGTGCTGAGGGACAATCCCGTCCTTCTGCTGTCATGAGCCGTGTTTCCTGCTAGTTCCAGGATCTCAGTGGTCAGGCACTCGAGCACAGCTGGCAGGTAGATGAGAATGCATCCACAGAACATCCTTTTCAACTAATTTGAGATTTGGGGCTGTAGTTGAGATATTATTTGAGCTTTTGAGATGTTAATCAGCTGATGTTGGTTGTAGAAAACTGCCTTGTTGCCATGGTTACGCATCATAACAAATGTCCAAAACTAAAAAAAGTTTCAGTAAAAATCCTTCCAGCTGCACAGCATCTGATACCAGAGGAAACAATCATCCAAAAAATGGGATTTACATCCAGAAAAAAGAGGAATTAAAGTTTCCAAAAGCAAAATCTCAGAATGAAAGAGAGCTGCTCCAACATGCAGCCACCTGGAGCGGCGCAGTTCTAGAACAAGAATTGACTGGTCAGGAAAAAAAACAAGCGCTGGCAGCCTCAGCAGTGTTCTGTGTTTATATGTTGTTAATAAAAAGATCTTAACACCGGGAGCGCTGGCTCTGCAGCCCACACATCAGACCAGCCCACCAGGAAATCTCCAGGACTCTCCCGCAGCCACGCTGGACCTGAGTTTAATTGGCTCGTGACAAATTCCTTCATTTCTCACCATTTCAGTCATGGCATCAACGGAGGAGGAAGAGATCACTGCCTCTTGGCAAAAAAACTAAAGAAAAGGCCAGATCAGGATGAAGAAGGGGAATTTAATACATTGGTGTCACATACAAAACAGTCCGTCACTGGGCAGTTTATTGTGCGACACCGCATACGCGTATGCGGTCGTAAAAATTTGAGCTTTGCACGGACATGCTCTGGGGGGGTACGCTCGTACCTCCGCGTACGTACGCGCGTACCTCTGCGTATGGACGTACGCGGCAGTATACTGGGGGCTTTAGACTTGAAAGTCTGTGGACAGCAGTTCTTTTTCTGCCCGTCTGTGCAGCCAACTTCATGCAGCCTCCCTCTCCTTCTTCCTCACAAGCCCCTCACTGCTGCAGTTCACACACACTTACTAACATAGTGAAGGCAGCGCAGCTGGGGAGGATTATTTAATATATGTTAAAAAAAAGGGCCTAAAAACAAACTTTAAATATGTAAATAGTTTATTTTTAGGCATTTATTTTGTAGTTACAGCTGTTATTAATAAATGTGCCTTTGTGACAACTGGGACAAAGCTTTGACTCAGAAATATATTTTTGTTATTACTTTATGGGAAAGAAAAAATATTGAGATATATATCGTATATCGCCATTTATCTTAAAATATCGAGATATTAATTTTGGTTCATATTGCCCACACCTACTCATATGGAGAAATCTAGATTTGCCTGGACTGATGAGCCAACATTGGCTAGTTCGATGTGAGCCTCGGTGAAGATGGATTGTCCCAACTTGAAACAGCTCTGTGAATTTTATTTGTATAACCCTTTGCATCACCAGCAGTTTCATTGTGCACAGTTATTCTAGCAGAAATATTGTGATATTCCTGCAGGAAGTGGCCCCGGCTGCACAGGAAGTGCTACAGCTCCCTGCTACTAGGTGCACTTGTCCATCCATCCATTATCTTCCGCTTGTTCCGAAATCAGGTGGTGGGAGTAGCAGCAGGGAGGTCCAGACATGTCTTTCCACAGCCACCTCTTCCAGCTCTTCTGGGAGGATTTCAAGGTGTTCCCAGGCCAACCGAGAGACATGGTCTCTCCAGCGTGTCCTGGTCTTTCCCGGGGTCTCCTCCCAGTCGGTCAAGCCCGAAGCACCTCCCAAGGGAGGCGCCCAGGGGGCATACTTACCAGATGTCCAAACCACCTCAACTGGTTCCTCTCGATCTCAAGTGGCCCCTCGGGCTCAGCCCAAAAGAGCAACATGTGTTTGCCTTCCTGTGGGTCCAGCACCTGCAGGAGGGGCCATATGAGTCGAGTGCATGAATTCATGGCAGTGGTCGATGGCGGGGACCTTGGCGCTCTGACCCTGGCTTACCAAAGCTGGCTCTTGGGTGCACTTGTAAATTATCACAAAATATTATATAAATAACTAACAAAACCGATGACAATGTTTGTAAAATGGTGTTTTTCTGATTACCAAAGACGTTTTTGACTCCAGTGGTCCACTTTGCTCTAGGCTCTGTTCAGATTAGCTGTTAACTTATTGGTTCAGATCAAATTAATCTTCTCTTTTCCCCCAAAAAATGAGGTTGTTCTACAACAGGTAAGATATTGTTTATAAGTTTCTCAGAGAACCCCTCTTGAAAATATGAAAAATATCCCTTTAAGTCTGAAATTAGTGAAATTTGATTGGCTGTTGCCCGCAGTAGTCTTTCATTAAAGGAGCAGAAAGTGAATGGAGATCAGCATGTTGGGGCTTGGCTTTAGTGTTGTTTACCCAGATTCAGTCCGATCAGACGTCCCCGTTAGGCCTCGACCCGTTTCACCGCCACACACAGATCTGAGACTGCAGCAAATTAAAACCAGCAACCTTTCTCTTTTCAGTCCCGTACACCTGCCTTGGTCTTTGAGCATGTCAACAACACGGACTTTAAGGTAAGAACTGACTTTTGCAACCTAAAGGCAAAAAAGTGTTTACTGTCAACAGTCTGTTAGCAAAATATTTTATGAACTACTGGATGGATTTGTATACAACTCACAAAGTAATCATTGGATGTGCATGTACAACTGTTTGCTGCCATAGCTGATCAACATTAGCCAAAAGAAATTGGCTATTGTTGAGTAAACTTGCGTGGTAGTAGCTGCAAGTCACCCCCAAACATATTCTGAACTAGGGCTGGGTGCCGTTCAAAAATTTTCCATACCGGTACTCGTATCTTCACTTCGATATCCGTTCCCGAACGGTACTTTTTCAGTACCAGTTTTATAATTAACATCAATTCTAACAAGAAGAAAATGACATTACAGTACATATCTTGAGTTTTATTTTTTGACTTTGGTATTTTTCCATTCCAAGCAGTTTTATTACATAAAACTAAACAACTAATTTTCAGGTGAAAAGACCAGTAGCAAACCTCACGCTGTCTGCACCTCGAGACTTCTTCATCGGCCTGGTCCTTTACAGTTCTAGCCGTCCTTACTTTGAAGTCTTCTCCCAACAGCTGGTCCAGGGCTGACATTTTCTTCTGTTTACAAGGAGGTTAATCATCTGAAGTAGAAAACGAGTACCATGTATTACTGGCTAGGTTTACCAAGAAATGTTTTTTCCCCCCAAATATCTTAATTGAATTTTTAGCATTTTAAACAAACACAGCTCAAACATTCTGCAAGATGTAACCAAACAGTGACAGTGTTACTTAAGCGCTGTGTTTAAACCAAATTTAAGCAGTGTTTCCCCGAGATAACTTGCCATGGCGGGGCGCTCATCTTGTCCGTGATTTTTGTCTGGGGGGGCTGGAATGGAGACTCGTCCTCAGCTGCACAGTTTAAAGCAGCAATTTTGGGGGACACAGAGACGCTGCGCGCTGTCTGAACCGACAGTTTTTTGTTTTTGGCCGGGGGGGAGTGTCAGCGGGGGGGAGAGACAGATGCACTTCAACCGTGCGCTGTTTGTACCAACAATTTTTGAGTGGCGGGGGTGCGTTCAGCGCGAGGGTTCAGCATGAAGGAAGAGGCTGCCTTTAACTTTTTAGCTAGTGCACCTGCATTGTGAGCCGCTAGTTTAGCGTTACGTCAGTGCCGACAGGTGGTTGGGGTGGGGGGTGGGGTTCGGTAGACGGGGCGCTCGGTCCTGTTGACGGGGCGGGGGGCCCGCTTGTATAATGGTAGAGTAAACACTGTTAAGTAACAAATACAAACAAAACGAAACCAACAAACAAAACAACAACGTGCCCCTCGCAGAATCTTGATCATAACGCAACACGTCACAAACTCCACACATCAGCTCCATATCAAAGTATCAAACACACATGTACATATCTTAGAAGAATTATTTGTATTTTAGGAACCACACCTCCTTCAGTCATTTGCTCTGTGTTCTGGCATGTTCAGATCTTTAACATACACAATGAAGGAGTTCCAGATACACTCAAGTCCTGTTCGCCCTTTAATGCAGATGTAATCTTTTCCACAGGAAGAGCGGATAACATCTGTCAGATCCATCGGTTGACAGCCGGTCTATGAGTCTATGTCCAAAATAATGATGTACATCTTTTTCTGTTGAGCAAACTTAAGTTTATAAATGTTTGTTCATTCTTAGTGTAGTTGTGTTTTTCCGGGTACAGTCCAAACAAGAACAACTTTGAATCCAATATTGTTTGTTTAGACATTATTTCCTCAGTTACATCCTCCACCTCTTTCCAAACAGCATCATTTTTCTGCAGTACCACATACAGTGAGCCAGAGTCCCTCCGTCTTCTGTACATTTTGGACATCAGGTATCTCCCTATTAAACCTAGTAAGGTCTACTGGTGTTACATAAACCCGCATTAACCGTTTGAATTGGATCATTTTAAGAACTGTATTGATAGAGCTAGTATGGGCTAATGTGCAGGCTTCTTGCCAATCTTCTTCAGATAACTAACAACAGATCTTCCTTCCAGGCCTTAAGTCTGTCAAAGATGCCTCAGAAACTTGCAACATTGTTGACTGATAAAACTCAGATATAATAACTTTCTTCAAACTATCATTTGTCAACATTTTTCCAAAGTTGATTGGGCTGATTTTGTCAGCTCGTTATTTTGACTTGTTCTTATGAAGTTTGAGTTGAAGATATTTTAAAAAGTGTTTCTCATCTAAGTGAAATTTATTTTGTAGATCCTGAAAACTCATCAGTATGTCTGAGTCTGGTAAATAAAGATTCTGGATTATTTGGAGTCCTCTGTCTCCATATTTTAAACATTGCATCAGCTCTACCAGGTATAAATAATTGATTGCCCCATTTTGGACTAAACTGAGATAAAATTCAAGATGGCCGCGCTCAGAGCAGTTGCAGCTTCACAGGCTCCCGGTACCATCCCAGTTTTTAGAAGTTTTGATATAGACTCTGTGCCTGACTCCGCACAATGTATGCGTGTGAACTGTAGCCGAACTGAAATGATGAGAATAGGAGCGGCCAATGCTGCTCAGACCCATTGTGAGACCATATGCTGGTGCAGTGGGCCCTGGGTTCCTTCTTATGCATGACAATGCCAGGCCTCACGTGGCTGAAGTGTGTCAGCAGTTTCTGCACGATGAGGACATTGATGTTATGGACTGGCCTGCCCGTTCCCCAGACCTGAATCCAATTGAGCACATCTGGGACATCATGTTTCGGTCAGTCCACCAAGGCCACGTTGCACCACAGACTGTTCAGGAGCTAACTGATGCTCTAATCCAGGTCTGGGAAGAGATCCCTCAGGAGAACATCTGCCGTCTCATCAGGAGCCCAGGCGTTGTTGGGAGGTTCTACAGGCACGTGGAGACCACACACACTGAGCCTCATTTAGACTTGTCTTGAGGAAGATTCACTGACGTAGAATCAGCCGGTCAGGCTATTTTCTACTTTCATATCGAGTATGAATCCAAATCCAGGTCTCCATGGTGTCATAATTTTGATTTACATTAATAATTTTTGTGTTCTTTTCTTCTCAATCAATTCCATTGTGCTAATAATAGTTTGTCAATGAGAATATTTAATTAATTGAAGTCTAGGATGTGTTATTTTAGTGTTCCCTTTAATTTTATGAGCAGTATATATATATATATATATATATATATATATATATATATATATGGTATGGTATAAAGTTTATTCATTTAAAAAATACAAAACAATTCCATAACAATATAAAAAAAGATACAAGAGATTTAAAATGAAAGGCAGCAGAAAGAAGAAAAAATCTTATTATATCTGCCCCTTTTTTCAAACAATTATTTCAATCATAATAATTTTCAAGTAACAGAACAAAATGAATAACTGTCTAATTTTTCTAATTCTAATACAAAACACACACTAAGCTACTTCATATATACTTTTTTAACAATTCAGTTTTGATCTTTTTCTTAAATGTACACATTGACTTGTCATTTTTCACATCACTCTCTAGAACATTCCACAATCCAACTCCTTGGATTGAGGTAGACCTTCCCTTCAGACTAGTTCTGAATGTTGGTTTGACAAATATCTCTATCCCCTTAAGATTATAACAACTTTGTCTTTAAACAAAATTTCTTTGGATATTTAATGGTAATGTGTTATTTTGAGCCCTATACATAACTGATAAAATACTATAATC